TGTAAGTTTGAATAGTGAGTAAGCAGTCAATTCTCATGGCAGCTGGTGGGAAAACCATGCTAAAAGTTTCAGGAAAAAAACTGCACCAAAATCTCATCTTCACAAGGCTCTTGAGTTGAGCTCTGCTTCCTCCTAGGACCCAGAGGAACCTAATTTCCCAGTTGACCAGGGGCTCGTCAGGGGCTGGTAGAGAAAATCCGTGTTCAGAGAGTCAAAGCAACGCACTGGGGCTGATGGCCTTGCTCTTCCCCTGTGTTGCCTGCCAAAGAAAAGGTGAAAATGCTTTTCCCACTCTATTAATCAGTGTTAAAATACTGATACAACTTCTCCAGTCCTAGCCTTCCCAAAACAAGTTCAATTAACACATCTTAGTTCTAAGCTTTGGAGACTTATTTTAATGTTGTGGTTTAAATTGTTGTATTAAAAGTAGTTTTTTGAGTAAGTAATTTTCCCTCTGCTGTTGCCTTTGTTTCCCCATCTGAGTACAAAAACTAATGAGATTTTCTTTATTTAAAATTCTCTTAAGTCCAGGCATGAGTCATACTATGGTAGAAACACTAGATATCTGGGTTGTTTACATAGAAAAAGTGTTTATGTAACACACAGCTTTTAAATAGCTTAGATCCAATACCTGATGGGACTGTGACATGCATGAAAAGTTTCAACCCATACAGGGAGAAAAAGATAAAGCAAGCCGACTGTAAATGGAAGGTCTTTCCCATCTTAACTATATGGTATTATCATCAATCACTAAAACCTTTTTCCTGTATAATCTCACTTTTTTTCATACGCAGTTTGCTCAGTGATGTCATAATTTCAGCATTTATAGCCTTACAGAGTTTTTTTGTTGTTGTTATCTGTTAAGATACTGCAACAGTGACAGCAGAGAGTGAATAAAGCAGGTATAGCCAGGTTGCTTCTTAATACTCATATAAAATCTTCTCTCAGGGAAGTGATGAAAACCATATAATTGAAGTTATTTATAATGTGACTTGACAAAAATTTGGAAAAGAGATGACAATATAGTACAAAAAGAGTTTTTCTTCTCTACTTTCTATTGTTATCTATCCCTTGTTCTATCTTTTTGCAATTCAGAGGTCAGTTTAGGGAAAAAAATGTGATCTTTATTTTGTGCAAAGGTGGGTGCATGTATATATATGTGTATATATATATGTCTGTGGGGTTTTTTTTATATATAGATAGATACATACATAAATGTCTAAGTTATCCATTACTGTGATGCTATGGCATATGATATTTACCACTAGCATTTACTACCAGTCCTCAAATAATTTTTTTTTATTTTTTTTTTTTTTTGTAAAGGGCTCGTGTTCAACTGCAAGTCACAAGTTTGGAAGAGCACAAAAATTCTTTAGCACAGAGGTCAGGTGTGCAAAAACCTTGAGATTTTGAAATGAGTCCCTGACCTGGCTTCTGAAATGGTTAGAAACAAGATATTTTGGGTAGATGTTTACTTTCCCACTTTTGCTTTAAGCTAGACAGTCATCAGTTATCTTGTAAGTCAGGGATGAATTTCTGGTGTCATTTTTTCCAATCTTCTCTTTCATGACTGTGAAATAAAAAGCCTTCTACTCTTGTGTTATTTTCTATTATTTGAACTCAGTAACTTTCTACTTTTTGATACATGAAAATAATTAGATGGTGATTGGATAAATAATGCATCTGAAAACAGAGCAGAGGTGGGTACATAACAGATGAAAATCACCGTTAGTGTAATAAGACTGAAAAATATTTTTCAATCTGGGTAGGGTCCTGAGCTAAAGTTATCTTGTTAGCCCTTTTCTCAGGGAAGAGAAATCTTGTTGTGCAGAATGAAACTGAAATAGTGACAGGGAAAAACGCAGTTGGTCTCTGCACCTTTTTGGTAGCAGAAACAAGAAGAAAATCGGGGAGTAACAGAAACAAATGTCTGTTGGTGCTGGAGCAATTTTTAGCACTGATGGTGTACATGGGAGACTCCTATGGGCTGTGAGACCAAAATCTAGCATGGTGATGATAAGACACCGTAACAAACAACAAAAAGCCACCAGTACTGCTGTGTTCATATTTCTCTGTCAGATAGAGTGGCTGCTGCATACGTCTCCCAGAGTAGCGGCTTAGTAAATGCACTGAATCGCATTTTGAATCTCTTGTCCCTGCCTCTCTAGGGAAATGAGTTAAGGACGTGTAGAGGAACAATGCAAATAATCTTCTTCTCAGAGCAAAAGCAGCTTAATTCAAGCTGGTATTGAAAAACAGATAAAATAAGGTTTAAGCTGTTATCATATGCAGAGGCATTTGAGGTAGTAGTCTGTGTATCAGTGGCAATTTAGGCTGAAAATAGTGTTTATTAACCGCAATGTGTTAGATTTGAAAAATTAAGCAATATGAAGATAAGAGATGCTTTACCCTGGATGATAATGTCAAGCTCGGTAAATACCAAAAACGAAGATGGAAAGGCAAATCCATGGGAACAGACAGCACACCAGGCAGGGCAAGACAAGGCAGGAGAGAGAGCAGGCAGGAGAACACCAACAGAAGAGATGAACAGAGAGACAAAAATTGGCTCTTACTTCGAAAAAAACCTAAGACAGAAAAGTAATGTAGAATTGAAGTTCTGGATTAAGATACTACTTTCTTCCTTTGGATCTGCAAAGTGAAATTAGCATCTGTGTCTCTCTCAAGTATAGAGGTCACTTACAGAGCTTTGTTCAGATGGTGGATTTTGATAGTCATAATCCAAATCTGAAGTGTAAGTACATGAAAAGAGCACGTATAATTCTCACAATATATGAATTGGGTCTTTTGTTTGGTAGTTTGTTTGGGTTTTTTTACAAAACTTTTCTTCTTCTACTAGATAAAGTTCCTACATGCCCATAGGCACTGCAGAAAAACTATTGTACTTTTTTCTGATTTTAGTTTAGTTTTATTTGCCCTTAGGATTTCTATAGAGTAGGCGTATTTGAATTAAAACAATATTACCATAGTGGTATAAGTGAACAAAAGGGTTGGTATGGCAGCTATAGCTGTAAAGGTTACTTTGTGGTGACACAGTTTCCTAGCATACAGTAACAAAACCACAATCTAAGTATTAAATTCACTTTGGAGCAAGAGGAAATACTAAAATAAAATCTTTATATGTTGCAGTATTTACCTCACTTGCTACTGAAATGCAGCTCTTTCTGGGGATGTAGCATAGCTCTGCAAATACCCTGGAACAGTTTAGAATAAGTCTGAGAATAACTTACTGTACTGAGATAAGTAGAATGAAAATACCAAAGTGTACAAGGATACCTTGGTTTGTCCAAAGTACTCTGGGTTGGAGAGTAACCATAACGGATTCATATAATGTGTCCTCCAGAAAACTATACCAGAGCATTATTTAGACAGTGCTTTTTATTTATTTAAAACTAATTTCATTTCATTTTATTGGGGGGGCCCAGTTTAACAAGCATTAAAAAGGCCTGACCATGCCTTGGTGATGTCCATCTGAAGGACATAATGAACAAATAGTAATGAAATCTGTCCTTGCTATGTGAATGCTAAAAAAAAAAAAAAAAAAAAAAAAAAAAAAAGAGTTGCAATTGCTTCTGTTTAGGAGTGGATATTACTTCTGTCCCAGCTCAGAAAGTGTTTTCTTCAGATGATATGTAATAGCTTTTTCTTTTATTCTGTATGTTTTTATAAATTTTGTTTAAAAATTTAGTTTCTAATCCACTGAGAATCAGTAGCATCTATTCCTCTTCATTGCAGTCTAGCTTGTTAATTTGATAAAGAGTCTGTCAGCATTTCTTTTGCATATTTTGTTCCTTTGTGTGCTTTAAAAACTCCTGCTACACTGTATATTATTCAACCATTTGTGGCTTGAAACATTGCCTAAATGATAGCTTATGTTTCGCCATTTTCAGGCCGTAGCTTTTTATGTCTGACAACTCAAGTCTTGCAGCAATAACATCAAGTTCCTGCTATGCTTAGAAAAACACCACCCATTTAAAAATATCATCTGCCACCATTTTATTGCACAATGGATAGATCTACTTTGGAGGGTTGCAGTGTTTTGTTTGACTCGCTAGCTGTTTTTTAGACATGAGGTTTTTATATAAATTCCAGAATACTTTTGCCTTTCACGGCTGATCCCTTTTTGGAAAAGTCAAAGTGGAAGGTTTCTGGCTGACTTCCACATGTAGAAGAGTCTTCAAAAAGTCCTTTTTGTATGTGCTCATTGTACTAATATTAAGGCAAAGTTTTTAGAGACTTCACTGCTTGGAAGTACTATCTCTGTTCTGTCACCAGTCTTATCTGTTAAATCCCAATGAGTGTGAAAAACAAGAAAAATCTGGGTTTGCTTGGCTGTTTCAACAGTATGTTGAGAATGGCCAGATTGCTGGAGAAGACGATTCTCTTGGAAACCTCAACAGCCCGGCCTCCTCATCTGTAGGCACATAGAGCTCATCTGAGTGTGTAAATAAAAATAAATAATGCAGTGAAAAAATATGCGGTGTATTTTGCTGAAGCGTTTCAATTTTGGATCTGCCATAACTAATTTAAATCTTCTGTTGGGATTTATGCAGGCAAGGGGTCAGGTTTAAGATGTTTGTAATTTAAAGCTTTCCTTCTACTACACCTGTTCTGCTTTTATATCCTATCATGATACCTTTCTTCTGCAAAGAAAGTCCCTTTCCTGCTTTGAAGAGAACATTTGCTTCTCCATTTATCTGAGGTAATGAGACCAGAGTAGCACTGGATTCTTTAAAATCACTCTAATTGGGCTTCTTTTAGTGTATAGAATATCCTTTTTTTGCACCGGACTTTCATTTCTTTGTGCAGTCACTCCATCTCCAGCACTCAATAGCTTACATGCTTTTTTAATTAAAAAA